TGAAGATGGTCATTATTAAGCAGCTTTATAGCAGGAACTGTTTATAGACCTGTTCAGACGAAAACAATGGGAGCGCATTTCATTCAGATTCAACCGAAGCAGAATCCATGTGGCCCGATCTAAACGCTCCACATCGCATTGAACGCGCCTTTCAAACCGGCATCAACGCATTTCGACTTCAGACTCTTACACATTTGTACGATAAATATATATTTATATATATTCTTGTTTTCAATTCTCATTACATGACATTTGTTATTTAACAGTTACAATAAATGCCTTTCGTCATGTGACGCTTTAGTTGATGTATCCTTTCAATATTGGAAAATGATGTGCGCTTTGTCGTTTAATAGGGAGACAATTGGTTAGTCACTTTCAACGCCCAAAAAACAAAACTTCTCTCCATCAACAGATACCTGGAACCTTTTCTTCCACCTATATCCATGAATGGCAACGAGTTACCGGAGAATAAGAATCTCCGTCTCATCGGTCTTATTCTCTCAAAGGATTTGTCCTGAAGATACTACATTGAATCCATAGCCAAATCAGCAGCTATGAGAGTAGGCTCACTGCTTCGAGCCAGAAACTAACTCACTCCAGCAAGTATTTGTATCTGTACAAATCCACCATCCGTCCTTGCATGGAGTATTGCTCGCATCTCTGGGCTGGTGCCCCAAAAGACTTAGTCCGTGGGCCAGACAAGATGGCCCATGGACTAACTGTCTACATATTTTAGACCGCATTCAAAGGAGAATCTGTCTTGCCATCGGCCATTCTTTGGCCGCAAAGCTGGATTCCCTCTCACACAGACGCAATGTCGCATCCCTATCTCTTTTTTACAGATACTTTCACGGTCGATGTTCAGGAGAACTTGCACTTCTTGTTCCGCCGCTCAGAACCTTTCAGCGTGCCACTAGGTTCTCTTCCTGCTCTCATCAATACACAGTTAACACTGGAACTCTCTTCCAAACAGCTGCTTTCCGTCTGATTACAATCCACAAAGCTTCAAAACAAAGGTCCACCGCCATCTCCTTACATAATTACATTATACCGACTTAACTACCTCTAGCTCTATGCCTAGAAGTGGACAAAAATAATTGGCCTTGCATTGAGCGACACCGTTAAAAAATAAGTTTCCATGATTTCTTACTTTCTGGATTTCAGAACACTCCGATTATTCATTTTTATAGCAATAGATGCTTTCCCTCTATTCTGATATACATTTAAGTTTTCATTAATTTGTTTAGCGTCATTGTCATTGCCAATTTAGATAAAATACATTGCTATATGGATAGAAAAAAAACATCATCATTGATTATTATTGTAGGCATTAGTTTACAAAGGGTTTGGCACCACCAGTACTATTTTGCTTTTATAGATTTAACCTATTTTTAGTGGAACCATTAAGGAGATTAACCCTCAAACATCCGGACTTTTTTGTGACGTTAATGCCCGAATGGAGTCCAAATAGACCCCATTCGGTTTCTTTCAAATTTATATTCCTTTTTGCATCCTTTCGGTGACCTTTGCACATATATTAGTTAAACATGTCAAGACGTTTATTTTGGCATGATTAAGTGTTAAAACATTCCAGCTCATTATCATAATTTATGCAAAAAAGGATGAGGCCTGCAGGCATGAACATGGGCTTGACCTTTGACCTCATATGATTGCCAGATTGTCAAACCTCTGAAAACCTGATGAAATAATTCCTGAGGTTGAGGTTACTTGGCAAACTGCATGATATTAAAGCAATAATGCTTCCTTGAATACATATTGAGGACATCCGAACAATTTCGTGTGTAGGAAAGTGCAAATACATGGCTGGGGTCCGTTTGGACCCCAGACAGTCTTACATCAGACTTCCGTTGTTATTTTTACAAATTTGTGCCGATCTCCAAAAAAAATTAGAAGAGGTTTACTGACAAAGTCACGGGACGAATATTTTTAGAATAAAAAATAAATAAAACTAGAAAGGCCAATATTTGCTTTGGAGCAAATACAGCGATGGGTTCACCACATTTTACGACATGGCAGGGAAAGAATGGGAAACACAAGGGAAAACAATGATTTACATTGATATAACTATAATATGAAGTAAAATACAACTAAAACAACAGTTGGATAGCTATTCCCTACTTTATTGGTTAGGATTTTTAATTGCATAATGCAAACTGTTGATTTTCAAAATAAAAAAAAAAACGTCCATGCCCGGCATTCCAATGCTGGAGCAGGAAAGCTTGAAATACCTACCAAAACACTTGAATACAGACATACTGTCAGTATGGAAATGCTTCTGTGCAGGTGTTAATCAAGTTAAATCCCAACAGCCAATCAGCAAGAAGTATAGAGGAAAGCTGCATGCCTATTGGTTGATGCCCTGCATTCCATTGTGATGACTCATGCCCAAACGTGGTAAACAAGGCAGACTAACACAGTAATACATTTGCTATAACACAGCCAAAAAACTCAAATAAAACCATTCTAAAAGCCTGTATCACAATAATTTAAAAAACGCCTAGGGGTATTTGCCCACTGTACCTCCATACCAAATTTCAGGACCTTAGGCCCTAAAATGAAGAAGCTGAATCCATTTAAAGATATGGCAGGAGGAGGAGAAGGAGGAGGAGAAGAAACATCAGAAAAAGCAATATGGTTTCACCACACCACTTCGTGGTGTGGTGAACCCATAATTGCACTTAAAAATATACGCCTAGGGTCCAAATAGACCCCGGTGTTTGAGGGTTAATGGGATAAGCCTTAAATGGAAAATTTATGTTGTGGACTACTTAATAAAAGTAGTGTGACATTCTTACATAAGCTATTAAGAGTTAAACATCTGTAGAGAAAATCTTAAACAGTCATTTTTTTTTTCATTTATGAATTCCAAAAAGCATTAAGTACTACAATTATAATCTCAAGCCTTAGAAATAAAATGCTCACTAAAGATGGCATCTGCCATAGCCTAGATAAAGTTTTTGGGAACACAGCATCAATAGAACATCCGTTAAATTAACAACAAAATGTAGTCCTTGTCATTTCAAAATAGCTCTGTAAAATTTTAGTTTACCTCAAAAATACATTTTATGAGATTCATTTTAGAGAATTCAATATGTGTCAACATGTCATTTACCTTCCAAATTTCTGGTATCAGCGTTTTCTTTTATTGTTAGCTAAGTATATACATGTAGGAAAATGGATTTATGAATTACAAGCTTGAAAAATGCAATATTTGAAATGTCCTTTTCAAACCATTAAACGTTTATAACACATTTTTTTCTTTTATGACGGTTAGTATATACACCCGCCTTTAAACATTACATTTAATACCAGTAACTTTGCATTAAGAAACTTTTGTTAAGACGACTTAAAAGGTTTAAAAGAAATTTGCCGATAATTGAGAAAAAGTGTAACAAATAGGTACAACATGTTCTTGATCTATTTCATTGAAAAATTGAATAATTATGCAAGCGGTATTTTGATTTGACTTCCTTTTTATCTTCCTTTTGACGTCACATGTTTGAACGTTTAATCACAGACCTATGGCGGAATGTAGTGAATTTCCTCATTAATTATGCAATCTACCTCCTGTTATATACTATAATTCCATTCAATTACGTACATCATTACCATTTGTTGCTGACATAAAAAAGGAATTAGTCTCCAAAAATCAGGACCATGACACGCCAAGGAACACGCCAAGGAAAAATATTTAAAAAAAAAGAAATTCTCCTTCAGTACCAACGTGGCCAATATCTAACATTTTCTGGCTTTCGATCGACAGACATAACAAATATCATCATAATCCATAAATGCCTTTTAAGTTATGTTGACTACAAATATGCACAAACACACACAGACAAAAAAAAACGCATCCGTTTTGCATTGAGCTATAAAGCTGCCATGGGCCTTGACCTGCGCCACTACATTACGACCCCAAGGCCGGCCTAAGAATGTCGAGGCAAGCTTGAAAGGCTAATCATCTTGCGGCAGTACCTTACAAGCTACACGCACAAACATACTAAATTCCATAAACATTCATCCATAACTTTGAGACTTATTCTGCATGCAGCAAACAATAAAGGGGAAAGTAAATATTGACTAATAGATGGTATTCACCACTTATACCTGGTTGTACTACGAAATATTGTCATTTCCTGGCACAAAACATTTAGAGATTAGAACACGCAAAATTTTGCTTCTTTGAATTATCACGTATTGTTGTCTCACCCAAAAAAAGCTTTTTAACATTTCCACGACGCCAAAAACGTCCGTTAAAAAGTCGTTAAAATTTTTGAAATTTGGGCGGAATTGACAAATTTGAAACAGTTGTTCACCAAGGTTAAGGCTTTGCAAATTCAACAATAACTGTAATAAAGAGAATGCATGTGGCTGACTTGGACGGGACAAACTAAATAGACAACAAGAAAACACACACACACAAAACAGAAACAACGTGCAAAGTTATCCGTGGCAATCAAATGACAATGTGGCAATCGTAGATTTAAAGATTTCAGTAAAGTGGACTTGTCGAAAATTTGCATTTAGTATGTGGTTTTTATGTTTTAATACAATTACTTTGTAATCAATAGGGTAAATGTTAGTGAAGACACTGACAGGCCAAATAATTGTTTTAAAAGGTCATGCTTTACTTTTCATATTTGTTTAGTTTCATGCAAGCTAAACATAACGAGTACTTGCCAAGTTTTGTTTAATTTTTTTACAAAATATTACAATTACAACATAGATTTTGCTTGAAATAATGTGCATGGTCCTCTTGAAAAAAAATTGAACTGTAAATTTCAAATAACACAAAGGTTGTCTGTGCCTGTATTAATGGAACTTTTATCACTCTGTTATTTGCCCATCTTCGTACAAAATGTGATTGCAACATAACATTGCTTGGAATGGTGATATTACTCAGTGACTAATCGGTAGGGGACAGATCATAGCTGTTTGTCTCTGGGTACTCTGTGGTGTTGTTTATTGCCTCCCTACGTTCATTCTGACAGTATACAGCTGCCGGGGACCGGCCAGCCATTAGTCGCAGGGGAGGGGCAGATATAACTGTTTCCCCGGTTTGTGGCGAGCTGACTGCGGTGATTTTCATCGTAGACGGCGGACGGAGTGTCCGTCTCACTTCTGCGCGGGGCAGCAGGGTCGTAGCTACTGGCCATAGGAGACGCTACGGAGTTACAGACCGTCGCAATAGTGCCATGCTGGCCATAAGTGTTAGACAGCGTACGATCTGTGTTAGTGGCAGGGGAGTTGTAGCAATGTGCCTTACGGGAACGCTTAGCGGCGCTTGCATTCTGCTTGTGCTGGTAGGCAGAGGACATGGTGGCACCAGGGTTGGGGAGGATAGATGGGTGCTGGTAGCAGGTTTTGCCTGACTTATCGCCGCCGTTTGGACCATAGGCATATGTGTTAGACTGGACAATCTCTGTGTTAGTGGCAGGGGAGTTGTAGCAACGTGCCTTACGGGAACGCTTAGCGGCGCTGGCATTCTGTTGGTAGGCAGAGGACAGGGTGGCACCTGGTTTGGGGAGAATGATTGGGTGCTGGTAGCAGGTTTTGCCTGACTTATCGCTGCCGTTTTGACCATAGCCAGGTACGACTGCCCCTTCCCTGTTTGGTGTCTGGCGGGGACGCTCGGCGCTGTACGGGCGGGACGGCACGGGGTGTGTGTGCGCGCGGGGGCGGCCTGGGTACGCTGCGCAAAGCTTTGCCTGTCCGTACGGGACGGCTTCTGACTGAGAAGAACCGGCCCTGCGCAAATCAGGGTGGTCTTGGAAACCACCTTCAGCGTAAGGGCTGATGACTGATTCTGACTCATTCAAGCTGTCGTGATCCTCGAAACCACCTTCAGCGTACGGACAGATCACTGGTTCATCCAGGTGGCCAACTGAAATACCATTACCATTGTGGTATGAACATGTGCCGTTATCTGGAGCTTTGCGTCCGAGCCTGCGCTTGATACACCTGACACAGAACAAAACCCCGGGCCCCACCGCAACAGCCGGTAACCAGATAATAGATGACAACACTATGTTCCATGTGCAGATGCTCCCTTCATAAGCATTATCACTTTTACTGATGGTCAGTGGTGTAGTGCTGATGCCGGTAGGCACCGGTGTTGTACTCATGGTGATTGAGAATATTGTCGTGTTGATGAGTGAGGGTTCTGTTGCCTGGGGTGTGGTGATGCCAGAGTATGTGCCTTCACTTGTCATGAAAACCACAGTGTCAGACCCAGTTTCAGAAGAAACCGTACAAGTGGTGTTCCCAAAGGACAAGGGTCCGGTAGCCTCAAGCCAAAGGGTGAAGCTGGACCTCCCCATGTAGTTAGAACACAGGCTGTGATTTCGTGAGTCCCCGGACAGGTTATCTGCTGGTCCCTTACATTTCAACCAGCCCTCATCCTTAAGGTCGGTCACCACTCTTACGGTTAGGTTGCCTGTCGGCAGAGTAGCGTGTGTTGTCGTGTTTGCGTCATACGTTATGTCGTGTGTGTGTTGTGAGTCATTAGGGAAGGTCCAAGACACTTGGGGCAACTGCTCCCAATACACCCTGCCAACTACCGTGTACTTGTATCCAGGGTTGTGTTCGGCCTTCATAATCTCCACCATTGGTGGCGGGCAGGGCAGGGTGTGACTGGGAGAGACGGGCGCGGGGAGGTTCCGCATCAGCGCCGAGGCGGGGCAGCTGTGGGTTCCCGGGGGCAAATTTAGTAAACGCATGAAGCGCTGCTTGAACTTTATGTAGCCCCCCTCGTAGTCGTAAAGCCAATCATTCGCACACGTACAGCGCGGCTGGTTAGACATGTGGATTCTCCGGGTAAATGACAATGCCCTGCCTTCCGACAAAATAACTGCAATACCATTATCACGGGCTATGATATTGTCTGGAAAGGACGATTTAAACCACCCGCCAGAAAGGAAGGTCAGCCTGTTTGCTGCAAGATTTAGGGTAGTCAATTCCGTGTTTGAGTAGAACGCGCCGGCAGCAATGTGGGAGATTCTGTTACCCTGCAGGTTCAGGGAAACCAGCCGCTCAAGCCCGTGGAACATCTCCACGCCGATCGACCGAAGTTTGTTCTCAACGGCGCGGACATACACTACGGACTTGATCGTCTGGAAGGTCCCCGGGGCTACGTTAGCGATAAGATTGGCACTTACGTCAACCCACCGCGGCTGCAACCCCCGGAAAGCGTCAGGTGATATCGTCAGGATTTGGTTGTCCACCAGGATGATGTTTGACAAGCTGGGCAACCCATCAAGGCAGCCACCCTGCAGCAGAACAATTTGTAAAACAGTTTAAAAAACCATTAGTCAGTATGCCATCCCGTTGTGCTTTAGTACGTTGTCTGCATCACCCCACTGCTAATTAATAAAAGGACTGAATCCACCCATCTAGTGATTGTTTTACAGGGCCTTTGCTGATTGGATGTTTTTTATATAGTCCTCACTTAGATTTGGCCAATCATTGCATCTGCTCAAATACCGACGGATAGACTACAAGTGGGCCCTGCCAAGCGACAAAGAGACGGTACTAAAGATAAAATGATAGGACACCCAGGTTATAAAAAAGGGTGACAAGCAATGTTTGATCACCGAAAATATGTTTACGTAATGCATGTTTTATTCTATCCCACCTTCAGATGTGTCAGGTTGTTCTCCAACAGCAGCAGATACTCGAGGCTCTCCATCCCATTAAACGTGCCGTTCTTCAGAGTCTGGACATTGCTCCGCCAGATGACCAGGGTAGATACCTGTGGCAACTTAGCAAACGCCCCTACCTCTATTGTCGTTAGGTTACAACCCACAAACCACAGCCTGCAATCTGTACCACATGGGATCTGAGACAGGATCTCTGCTTTGTCAGGGCCAAGCTTACCGACGTTGTTCTCAACAATCATGATGTCGGTTATGGATTGTGGAGGAGAACCCCCCTGGGTAGGCCTTGTTTCGTTTGAGCAGACCTGACAAGACTGGAAAGCCTGGCCCAAAGGGACGGTATCAAAGGGACCTTTGTAGCTGTAAGCCTCAAACGGGTCCTCGTTCCACCTGTAACGGTACACTCCAATGTCATACCGGTACTCACGACCATCACTACGGCTGTCACCTACACCACACTTCGCCACGGGCACTTCGCGGCAGCTCTGCCAGCTACCGGCGTCGGCCCGCGGCACTAGTAGCTGCGTAAGCAGCAACAACAATATTTTTGCCATGAGCTTTATTGCCATGATCGTTATTACACCGGTACCGTACTATTTATGGCAAAGAGCATCAAGAAAGGATTTATCTTACCATATGATCTTACAAAGTGGTTGTCCGCACCTGTAGGATGACCTGGGCAGCGCAAACGCAGCTCTGTTCTCTGCCGGGGCGCTCTATTCTCCCCCAACCTGGCAGCTTGTCACAGGCTTTGATTGATTATGTCTCAGTTATGCTGAGTGGTTCAGCCTAGGATTGCCATTGGCCAATCAGCATCGCCGTATCAGCGACGCCGTGGAAGAACAAAGGAATTGCCAGGGAAGAAATATTCTCGTTTCTTTACCACATATCGCATAACAGTGTTTAATGTAACAGAGGTATTCCAATGAAAAAAGGGAAAATTTTTGCCGCTTATATTAGTCTAGAAAACAAAACATAAACAAGACAAGCAATGTTTTGATCAAGTGCAGCAGCTACTGCGTATAAGAGCGTAAACATTAAAATATAAAACAATTTATCAATACTTTATCGGGAAACATTTGCTTTTAGGCTGGATGAGAATATGTTAGAGTCTATCATTGACTTGCCAATAATGAATTCATAAAAAAATTATAGGTATACTTTTGTGAAATATTTCAGCAGAGTTTTTCGTCTTGCTTCACTGTCTTGCCCTTTAACCCCTTATTTTACACACCTGTGCAAAATTAAAACATTTGAAAATGATTTTGGCCACAAGCGACTTATTTTCCATCCAAGTTTGAAGCCCGAGCTTCCCCAACTTGACACCGTAAAATATTGTTTCCACTAATAAACAAGAGTTCCACGATTTCATACCTTCGCCAAATGACGTTAACCCCGGCGGTTGTCGAATTATACAATTTTAATTATTGGTTTTGCAAATAAGAACCTCATTTCAATGGATTGTATCAGTTGATCATATTCTCCACCCGATAACAGCCTTATTTTAACAAAAATGCTATTAGAGTACTTCCCCATAATTATGCAAATGAGGTCATGATTTGAATAAATTGTGTTTGATGTTCGTCTTCATTTAACTTCCAAAGGTGGCAAGTATGAAATTCCCAGCAGTTACAACTATGAAATTTATAAAAATTCCCAATAATTATGCAAATTAGGCCTTTATTTACATAATCAGATGTTTTTTTTATTATTCTCAATTACATTTCACAAGTGTTTCAAACTCCTGTCATCGAACAAAGCAGATATAGAGAATTTCCTCATTAAATATGCAAATTAGCTCCTGAATTGCATAATTGTCATCTGATCATGTTAAGCATCACCTAAGCTACCTACATACCATTAATCACGACAATCCGTCAACCGGTTCTTGAGTTATCCTCAGAAAAATTTTCAACAAATGCTCCTGCAGTTCCAGAACAAGCCGTTATGGGCCCCATACTCATGTCACTTCTATTCTACTCTATAGTGGGGCAGATAACTGAAATAATCCTTCACTTTGTGATACAAGCACCAAACTTGGTACAAATACTCATGAGACATTACTCTTTTGAAAAAGTACGCGGGCCACTTGATTTGACTTTTGGTGCCCCCTAGCGGCGCTTTTTGGTACTGCAGCTGACCTAAACATGCTACAGTCATGATTTTTATGTGGTAGAAAGCTGTTAAATAAGGTAGAAGTGACGTAAATTTGGTGTCTCTAGCTGCTTGTGTTGAAACTGTAGGGGCGTTTTTTGCCGGTGCAAATATTTGCTCCAAGGGCGCTTTTTGGTACTGCAGCCGACCTTCCGAAGCAAAAAAAGCGCCCTTGACGCAAATTGTGCACCGGCAAAAAACGCCTCTGCTGGTCCAACGCAAGCAGCTGGAGAGTAATGTCTCATGAGTATCTTGCTTATTTTAAACAAAGTTTGACCCTCAAAATGCAGGAAATGGTGTTTCGGAGGGTCATAAATTTCAAAATTTTCCGGGGGGGGGGATGCCACTGGACCCCCCTACAATACTCGCGCGTGCAGGGCAAGCTGTTTAACGTCAACTGGATCATTCCGATGCTTTCCAGTCCTATGCAAATAAGGGTTAACCCCCTATTTACCAATTGCATTCTGGGGATGGGAAACTGGTGAATATCAATGACCTTTGACCCTAAGCCCATAGGCAACTAGGTCTAGGTTGACACTTTTTTTTTTCATTTTCTGATCAACATGTTGAAGTTATTATGTAGCAATGTGTAAAGTAGACCAATGGCAGCAGCAAACTCAAGTAAACATATTACCTGCAAACAATTTTGACGACAACAAAGGAGTCACAAGTGTTAAAAATGCTGGGGAAAGTCTTGACCCCACTGGACCACGCATAAACTAACTAGGATAACTAAATTAACAAGGGTCCAATCTCATTTAAACGTATGAGAAGTTATAACACATATAAACAAACAAACTCATAGAAGGGATTTCGTTTCGACAAGAAATATACAGGACCTAACAACAAGTTACGAATATCCAAATAGCAAAACATAACAGTGCATTATACAATATCGAAGACACATCATCGTCAAATTAATATAGTAATCATAATAATATCTATAGTATAGAAAAGAGAAGAGGAAAGATGGAACGGTGCGAGAGTCAGATAGGTTAAATACGTCCACCATTTGACTCCATGTGACCCCTTACCTGCCACGCCCATATATCGCCGCCGTGTTTTGAACACACTGACGTGCAGGAGATCCTGACTGTGCCGAGCTCTGTCGTCTACGCATATACGGAAACAGGTATCATGTCAATTCGGATACGTTTATAACTTAGCGTAAGACATTAGCAAATATGATTTAATTTGTTACCTCGCAGACATCTCACATTCTACGTAGGTAAAATTTGTTGACTAAAACGAACAATCAAAAAGGAGGAATTTAACAAAGCTGGTTCTGTGGGGCAATACAGAGTACTGCTGTACTATGACTAGATACTTCCTTATTGAAACGGACGTTTTTTTTGCTACAACGGAAAAATCGTACTCTTTCTGCTAGAACATGGTATATATGACTTTTGCAAGTTTGGGTCAGGCGTCCTTACATGCATTAAATACGCTTCTGAATTTCAAAATTCCTGTCAGAAAAGAAGTATTTCAGGGGCACGACGCCATTTTAAATTTGAGCAGCCCGTACCCAGTTCAGCGGTTGGCCCAATTATCATATACAATAGAAATTTGACATTCATGGTAAAATTGTGGCATGTAAACGTTAGGGGAGATCTTGGAGGCTACCCCTAAAAAGTGGTTCACTACGTGGATATATTTATGCTGGAAAATGGTAACTAGTACATGTTTTTGCGGTATTTTAGTTGTTTTTTAGCCAGATCACGTCTGGGTCTGGTGAGAGACTAGAAAAACCTGTTCTATTGGACCCTGCAGTGACGTCTGCTGGGTTTTAAGTGTTTATCACGCAGGTCACGTCTGGCACAAATGTCAGAGACAGACTAAAACTTCACGTAGACCCTGCAGTGACGCCTACAGCTGTTGTTAGCTCTTTGCCTGACTAAACTGCGCTCCTAGTTGACGTCGCCCGAAGGTTGCCCCCCCCCCCCAGTAATTGGTCTTGCGGTCATTTACTCTTTTACTCAGTACAAATGCAAAACTGCCCGGTATCAGAACAGCACTCTTCCCTCCTGCGTACTATTAATGAATTATGACATGTAGATACCTGTACGGCCTTAATGTATACGGACTATTTTATTTGTGATTAAACGTTTTAGAATGTAATCACCAATTGATTTTAAAATGTCTTGAATTTCATATTGAATGATTGTACCCGCCTTCCGTCTGTTACAATCCATGTCATAAGAATTTTCTATTGTGTTGTTAATATGAGTCTTAGATGACATTGAATTGTAAGGCTGCCAGTGTTTTTATTCTCAACTAACTATTTCATTACACATCATCAAAACCTCCGGCCGAGAACTTGTGTAACACAGGCTAGTCTAGTTCTAAATGTCTCAGAGGCTGTGAAGTGTTTGGCACGCTTCAGAAGTATTTTGCATTAACATTATTAATGATAACACCGTGTGTATGTGAGACGTGCAGAGATCACACTGTACGGGGAGTCATCTGTGGACAAGAGCTGCTGTGTTACTATAAGCCCATCTCTCTCTCTCTCTGTTTCTCTCTCTTTCTCTCCCTCCCCCTCTCCCCTTTATCTCTCTTCCTGTCTCTCTTTCCCTCCCTCTCTTTTCCCTATTTCTTTTTGCTCTCTTTCTCTCCCTCTTTCTCTGTCTCTCTTTCCCTCTCTCTCCCCATTCTCTCTCGCTCTTTCTCTAACCCTCTGCTTATGTCTCTCCCTTTCTCCCCCTCTCTCCCCCTCTTTCCTTTCTACTTATATAGATGTATGTAATGATTTTAATCTGCTCTAGTACCTACTCAAAATGTTATCATCAAATGGAAGATCTATATAATGTTTTACAAAATAATTTCCTTGTTGCAGTGCATCCGTAATCTGGTAGGTGGCAGTGTACACCATGGCGATCCTGAAGGACAGCTGCTGCAGTTGCTGTAACCTCCGCGGGTTGTCTATTTTCGTCGGGATCCTGTTTGCGGTGAGAAAAAAAAACGTTTAGCCAATCCAATCTCTCTTTTTTGACGGAAAAATCGAAGCTAGAAATTCTCATTAACTAAGATGAAGCTATTAAAAACATTCTCCTTAGAAATACGAGAAATATCATTCCAAACGTTACCAGTTCAATCCAGAATCGTTTCTTCACGTCATATTACGTCCTAATGATACAAAAATCGTCGTTATAATCAATTATTACTAGTACAACATCCTCTAAAAATTTGGTGGTCATACCATATACCGTTCAAGAGTTCTGAGGATAGGGGGGTGCCACCCCCCCCCCCAAAAAAAAGAAAACGACCTAGATGCGCTTAAAGATTGGCAGTTATCTATACCGACTTCCTGAATGACATTTCGCGTTTTTTTTTTTTTGGCAGAACCTCCACCTGACCGATTTGTCGTTAAAGGCAATGAGCATAAGGCCTGGTTCGCAAGGTAAGAACCCCAAAGGGGACAGCCCACTAATTCCAGCTCCTATTGGAATATATAGAAACCATTAAAGAACTGAGCTGTCAACAATCACCTACTTGAGTGTTCAACTATTGTAAACACATATTGACAGGGTAGTCCAACTTCCAAATTGTCCATTTAGGCCAAAAATTTCACTTTTTGACCAGCGATATCCATCACGGCAAATGCAAACACTGGCAGCATGACCTCTGGCCCCCTTGAAAACCACCAAAAGACAAGAGGATGGGATAAGTTTTAGAACCTACCAAGCAGCCAGAACAACACTAACAGCCAGTTTTTTCAAGTTAATAGAAATAGAAATAACTCTCCAGCTGGAAAATACCAACATTCATCCACACATACCAAGAAAAAGGCTGTTTTCAGTTGGTTTAGCTGCACTCAATCAAAGGGGTCTCAGATTGGGCCCTCTGGGCATGCGCCATTTGGTGGCCTTTGCCCCAAACCGATTCCTCGTATTATACATTTTTGAGTATCCTTATGTACATGTAAGTGTATTCAAACCAACTGAAAACATTTAATTTTTATATGTGAGGATAAATGCTGCCACACCAGAGAATTACTTCTCCTTTAGTTGTTTAAATCCTTTAGTCTTGTTTGGGCTGCCTGGTAGAGCTCTAAAAGTCAAGTACAGTACCTTTTGTTTTGTGGTGAATATGAAGTAAACAATAAAAAAGAATCAAGATCTCAAGTATTGGAATCACTTTAACAAGCTTATAAACGACACTAACTTGTACACAATTGTACCATGCATCGACTTTTAGTTTACGGTTTGCCCGCTGCTGGCATTGCCATCGACGTGTTGGCCATCCTCATCCTCATGTGCGCGCTGATGATCCATGGCGTCCAAAAGGTAGGTAAGGCCGCACAACATAGTATTTATGGGCAAAAGTAGTCCGGGCACAAAGTAGTGCTGCACAATATTAGAGAAAGGTGCAGAGATTGTTCTGTGCATGACATCGAGATGGAACCTGTGGTAAATGTTAGAGGAATACGTCAGTTTTGAGAATGTAAAACTTGAATTATGGTGCGTGTTCAGTCGGCGTAGATTTGTGCTGGAATACTTGTCCCGCCTAGTACTGTGCTGCGGTTCCGCAGTGGCGCTAATAAAAGAGGGCGTGAGAAGAGAACTAGCCGGCAAATTTAAGCTCATTTTTACATATTTTGTACACCATACCCTGAAATTAAACATATCATAATTCTAAACCTTGCTTGTGCACCCTACCATGATTTTCAGTGAGTCGAAGTGAGTCACTTTGAGGTCCTTAACTATAGAAATCTCAATAGGGCTAAAACTGCGTTAAGATGCCGAAAAACTCAATTCACTTCTATTGGACGATTGTAGCCACATAATAGTGACGCAATGTGGTGTCCGCCATCTTGGAGCGTCAAAGACGTTGTCTAGAAGCAAAGTTTGAAACTGCTTGTTGTTTTTGAAGAATAGTCCTGAGATTATTTTATATATCACATTACACGTTTACAGCATGTTGTTGAAATTTTAAATAAAATGAAAATAAGTAGCAAGACATTAGGATCAACTTGACTAATTTGTATCATCCTTATCTTGACTTGTTTAACTTTTGTTCCCTTTGGACTTTTAAAAATTTGCCCTTTCTTATTTACTTCCGAATCGTACTTAGACATATAAACCTGCTTTTTTGTCACTAGTGTCACTGACGAAAAGTGGTGGATGCTACCTGAAATGTCTGGCCGTTTCCAAAATCATATCCAGTTGCTTGCAATGAGAAACTGTTTTTGGCGTATCTTATCACCTGGGTGTCTATTAGATAGTCTATTTATCAACGTATAATTAGCAAGACAATCTAATTATGTTTACAATCTGTCCACAGGGTAAAAAGGTGATGCTGCTGGTGTGGGTTGTGTTTGTCGTCATCATTTTGGTGGTAAAACTCATCATTGCCATCGCCATCACAGTCTTGGTAACCATAGCCGCGGAAGTCGCGGTAATTAGAAAGTTTATTGCAAATGCATGCGCTATGAAAGACTATGTGCCAAGTTGGCACACATTCTTTCATATAATTGCATCATCAGTAGCTACATTCTACAACATACCTAGTACTAGTAATAGTTTTTTTAGGGTTGATTTCTTCTTTCAAGGCTGGGCGATACTAATTTTTCCACCTCCTCTATGCTACATGTAAGTGGGTTCTTTGATCTTAGTAGTAAAATTTAAACAATTTTGTAGAAATTTGTAGAAAATGAAAAACACTCTTGATGGGGATTGTTGGAAAGGTAAAATAAAGGTTAAAATAAATAAAGAAACCAATAGAAATAACTTTGGAATGAGGTATATAAAATGTATTAAATTCATTTATTTCCGGATCGGAGGAGTCGTTTTGGATCGACCATGGACAATGCTAATAAATAATGGGTTCGGCTGTTATTGTTATCTTATTATTATTGGGAGGGCTGGGTACGCAACTCACTCATAGCAGTCAACGGCTTAATTCTAAGGAGGTCGCAAAGGCCTGTAGTGACTTTTTGAGTAAATTCTAGAAGAACAAGGAGAAGTCAGGGACATCTTCCCTCCATGGAGGAGGTTGGTGTTGTAAGGTTTTATTTATGTTATCACCTGTATTCATTGTATATGGAAGGTATGTTCAGATGAAGATGAAGAATGGTTAGAAGAAGGCAGATGGGTTTAAATGTAATTTGACGTTATATGGCCATGAATATCATTAACAGCACTAACAGACCTATAATAAAACCAGCCAACCAACCATAGTGAAGAGGTGAGGCCAATGACCTCTCAAGCACCCCATTCAACGGGACTATATTTCCTTCAGTCTCTGTCTAGGGGTAAAAATAGATTGGGCTGCCTCAGCCTGGCCTGCCAGCTGGAGGTATATAAACAAAAACACTCTAGATCTGTCCCAACTTTTGGGTCAAACAGACCATCCTATTATGAAGTAGGGGTGAAAAAATGAAAATCCTTTTAAATTAAGCAATAAAAATATACGATAACCTGCTAATGCACTCTAAAACACAAAGAGACTCAACAACTACCCACATACCAAATATTATACCAAACGACCCACCAGATTTTCCAAACATTCAACACAAAAAGACCAACTTTAAACATATTGTAAATATCAAACGCAAACAGCTAGGAAGCCCAAATTTAAACCACTAAACCGTGGTAATAACAACTACATGCTACCTTAATATCGCACAAACAGTCCATAACGCGCAAACAACAGAATAAAAAATTAAACTGCAGTACCAAGGTCAATCACCAGGGGCTCAAAGTCAACCTACACAATCTCCAAGGCCCCATCCATCAATCTGCCAAATATCGTACAGTTCCTTCTCACCGATCTTCAGATATCAGACCAAACATGAAACGGAGTAAAAACAGTACCCCCATTTTCATGGAGGGTAATAATATAATACTTAAAAGTTTTGTACTACAATGAGCAGACATTAAGTATTTATCCAGGTGTATGCCCCAAATATCACATAATTAGCCGAGTCTGTTGCATAAAGAATGAAAGGTATAACGTCATTCAATTGTCTTTAGGTGTATTAATTTGGTTATTTCATGTGATGAGGGACGGGGTTTAGCGGTTGGGGCACATCTATAGCAGTGACAACTGTGCTGTGCAATTTGAATCAGTCGAGAATGCCATAAGAATGTGAGACGGTTACCGAAACGGGTAAATAAACTTTAAAGTTATTAGTTGTATAAAAATAATCTCTTTATCTATTGATAATATCGCTTTTTGCTAAATCCACAGGCCAGATCATATTATTTCCGATATGTCAATATTTCAGCCATTCCAATCGAAGAAATCGAAGCCAAAGTTCTCGCCCAAGTCTGGGCCATCTATATCGTAACCCTCCTCCTGACGGTGAGTGACCAGATTTAGATAACAAATCGGGATTGACTTTGCTTTTATTGACGTAAAAGAAAAAAAAAGAAACAAAATTTTGCTTTCATCTTCTTTCATTGAAGTTTGCAATAGATATGGGTTGAAACTTTCAAAAGACAAATCGTCTTTACCTCTCTAGATCTATGGTGTCCTTGTGGTGTACTCTCACTACCGGAACCTGCGTTATGGCGTCCTTGATGATGACGGTATCCATGATGGTGCAGCACCGCCCCCTGGCGCCCTCCCGCCCGGTACTGCAGCTCCTCCACCGGGAGGCATGTACCCACAAGCAGCGGCCCCTCCCCCGGGTTATGAGGTAAATTTTCTACCCGTACCTTCACATCGCTGTAGAATTATCCTTGGCGCTGTTAACTGCAATCAACAGTTCAGCCAATGACAACATGGCAATTAGCGGCTAGACCAATGAGAAGTGGCTAAACGTTTTGTTTTATTTTTTTTCCACAGAAGCAGTATGTGGTTCCACCTAAAGTGTGAGGTACTTCAGGGTCAGACAGAGAGCTCTAATAAAACACCAGAGGAAGACAGAACAAACGTAAATCTACATATTGTATCACTTTCCTTTTAAAAGTTCTTATATTCTGCTAGGGATCTGGTAGGAAGCATTAACATTATACTAAAACCATTACAATAGAAGTTATAGAAATTCTTCGATCAGAACAGGAGACTAGGTCACTCCGTGAACAAGATGTACATTGGACATTGTACTGAAATTTACGTTTTGTTTTGATCAATATAGGACTTCCGAAAATATTTTCATCAGGTTGGTGAAGTATAGCACATGAATGTTTTCTTAATAAAAGCAGAAGGTCATACGTTGCTTACGTTTCGTTGTCTATCAGACAATTGCTTCAGAGCTTCTGACTGGAGTTCTTCTAGGCGGTAAATGTGGGCGATGTAGGGTTTGCTTTTGAGGTGAGAGAACAATCCCAAACCATATTGACCAAGACCATATTGCCAGAAACAACTGTATGATTGACTGGGAGGGGGCCAAGGTTATAGACAGAGAAAACAACCGAAGAATCTGATAGGTCGGAATCTGATGTGTCACCAACTCAGCCATGTTTGGGATTGCGTTCTCGCCACAAAAGTACCACCTATACCGGCTACATTACGGCGGCGAGAAGCAGAACTCCAGTCAGAAGCTCTGAAGGAGGAGTCCGATACACACTGAAACGTAAGCAAGGTAGGAACTTTTGGTTGTGTAAAATAAAATCCTTATATAAAATAATGGGCTTTCCAGTGAATCTGTTTAAACATCAACGACAGCAAAATAGCACGACGTCATACGATGAGTGTTTCCATAACTCTACTAAGCTGTGATGTTGTATTTTTTTTCTTTTTACATAGCAAATGATTTCCGCTTAATTCGTTATTTTAATGATTTATAGTTAAGTCATAGGGTCATCGGTTGAGAGAGGGAAATATTACATCGCAATATCCATAAGTACTTGTTTATGCATGTTTTTTTTATAAAAAGAAAATATATGTACGACTTTATAAGACTTCGTAGAAGGGTAGGATTTAAGTAATAAGAACTCGAGTTGTTTAGATTTGGGGCTCTTAGCGGCTTGTTAAGGTACTGCAGTGGAACTTCCGGTTTTGATATCTCGTGGTGTGAAAATACTCTATACTGTCTCTCCCTTTTTAATTGGATGTGTTTCTGATGAGACCATTTTGCACTGCTAAAAATCGACAAATAAAGACATTTTTTGCACTTAAACTTTGCTTCTGTACTTTTAACCGTCTGTGTCGAAAAAATGTTTTAGTTTTCATATGTTAATAAATAACATAATAAATTATCATTAGAATGTTCATTCGCGAGAAAGTAGGACTTTCGATGAACACTAAGTTTCTATAATGATATAAGCCACACCAGAGCATATATTGGGGTTGACAAAACGTTGTGATAATAAAATGTAAGTAGATCAATTTGTATTGACAAATAACAAACGCAAAGTTTGGCTCGTTTATCAAACCTGAAGGATTTTTTCTTATTTCTTCCTATGTACTTTACACCATGGGCTTTGATTGTTTTTTGGGTTGCCCCCTCCCCAAAGCTTTATAATTGCAGTGTGTAGAGGACTCAGGCGGTCTTTTGAGATGGATCATTTGGATTGATGTCCTGCTCAAAGGGTTTTGGGGCTCCTTTTTAGTTGATTACATTTCTTACTGCCCTTTTAAGACCATATAAAATCTACGTTGTGCTATCTCATTATAATGTACATTATGTAAATTTTTCAAATGAGTCTGCTCTGACAAAAAAAAAAAAAAAAACACCAGTCTTGTTGTCAGTTTTGTTTTTCTAGTCCGGCGTTTTTGACAGTGTTTTCCTTGACAACATCGTTACCTCTATCGTGAAACAATCCGAATCGGACTGGAAAACAGCTGGCCTAACGAGAAACACTTCGAAAGGAAAGATGCAGACAGCAGACGACAAATAAGTACGTAATGTGCGGCGTAACACCACTGAGCTTTTGACTAGCGATTTTTGTATGGAGCCGTGTGCCGAAGAGCCGCTCCCTCCGAGCTCTGCTGTAGACAGTGAGGCTGAGATTGCCGGTCATGAAGAGCTAACATCGCCGTGTGCGCTGTACAGGGACACAGCGGGTGACCGGGAATGTATAGCCAGGAATGAGCATGACAAGACGCCGTATACTCTGTACCAAAACACAACAGTTCAAAAAGAAGGCTGGGGTAGCCGAAATACTTTGATATCCGCGAATGATGCCGTCACGTCGCCATATGCGCTGTACCAAGACACCGGTAATGAAGCGCCTACAGCAACGTCACATCTGTACGAAGACAAGGAAGACCTCGAGGAATCATCTAAAGTTACAGGACGCAAAAATGGTCAAGATAAAGGTCAAGAAATATCTTTGTCACAGCTCTATTCAGACAGAACGGGAGTGGAAAATGAGTTCTACCAGCCAACGCCCCCCTGCGAACAAAATACAACCTGCAGCTGTGATGACGTGGACCACAACGGAGCTACTACACATAAACAAGCTAAAGGTATGATGCTGATACGTTTTGTTGAATGTATTGTAATGTATTTGTAAGGTGATCTGATGTACATGATCTGATGTAAGGTGGTTGGTGTATATGATGGTGGAATCAAATACTATACTATAATATCTAGTAGTAATTATATCAGTGATATCTATTGGCTTCGGGAGGTGTGGTGGTAGATCATTCACTGTGAACCGGGAGACCCGGGTTCGATCCCGAGTCGTACCCGGGACATGTCTGGACATGCGGCCGACGTTGTGTCCTTGGAAAAGGCACTTAAAATGACTTTCCTCACTCCTCCCAGGTGTAAATGGGTACCTAAATTCGATCGGGGAAAGCTATATTGAGGTCACCTTGTGGCGCTGAATGACAGCCGCACAGAAACTTGCGGCAGTTCCACAAATATGTATCATGTGTATTATTGTGTGTATTATTACCATTTGTATCATCTGATTGTAAACCCTGCATCAATTCAGCACTATAAGGCTGCGATTGCACGGGTGATGTTTGGCCAATAAACCATTTGTTATAACTATTATTTAGTAAATGTATATGTCATGGCAGATAGTCAGATCTGGTAGAATCCGAGATTTTGATCGCGAAGTTGTCCACCAGCAAAACCGTTGATTCTACCAAATCTGAGTCCCTTTCCTGACATATACATGTAGTCGGCTACAAAGACATAGTGTTTTCAAACGTAAACTAAGTTTTTAAATAATAAAAAGACAGGTGAACTTTTAAAAACATGGATGTGTTCTTGTCGGCGTTACAGTGTCTGTTGGTTTCAATATATATTTGCGCATAAAGTGCTCTAATAACACATGCAATGATAGAAAAAACGGTTCACAAAGAATTCAGAAAAAAGCCTTGGTGCAAAATTTATCCCTTTCATATCATATTACATATGCAGATCTCAAGGTGAGCAGAAAAAATGAGTTATTAATACTTAAACATAAGCCGTGCCTGCGCATTGTTCTTGAATAGGCACATTTCTGTAAACAACAAGTCTCACAGTTGAGAATTGAACGACTACATGCTTTGCCAGCATTATAAATAAGCTACATCATGAAAGTACATGTGGATATTCTGTCGTTCTCGATATGACTCTATCTTTCTCAAGTATCCCTCCGCTACAGTGAGGAAGCGTCTCACATGTTAGGTATGGGGATTGACATCAGATGTAAGTGGGACGTTCCTACACTGACGGAGCCTGACCTTTAACGCACTTGGCCCAGTTGACCTCTTACACGACTGGGTTTTTGGTGGTCTGTTTTCATCTGCCCCCTTCCTAAATGTCTTCTCTCTACACCCCCTCTCCCCAACCCACCCCTTCCCTTAACACCTGCGCGGTTATCCCCATCCAGTAACCCCCCTCACCGTCCGGCACTCAAGTTGGTCTGCACGCTTACCTCGTGGTTCTCTCTGTCTTATATAGCTCCACCTGCCCATAAGCTCATTACTATACACCACCTGTCTATTTCACCTGCTTCACCTGTCTTAGGTTAATCTATTTGCGCTCCCTCACATTCCGCTAGGGATTACTTGATTAAGATATGACTCTATCTTTCTCAAGTATCCCTCCGCTACAGTGAGGAAGCGTCTCACATGTTAGGTATGGGGATTGACATCAGATGTAAGTAGGACGTTCCTACACCTCCTGTGCCTTCCCTTCCCTCACTACCCTTTTTCCCTGTTCCCATCCTCCTTCCCCCTTACCCCCCCTTATATTTCCCCTATCCCCAAACCTCCTACTAATTCCCCCAAACCTCATACCTAACCCTACTTCCCCTTCTTTAGTTTAATTATTTCCCAGCCTCAACTTTACCTCCCCTACCCTCATTCCTTACCCCAATCTTCCTCCTCTATCCTTTAAAGCCTTGTTTTCTTCTTAAGTACCTTCCCTTTGCCCTTTCTCATTTTATCTTAGACGCCCTTCTTATCCCTTGAAGTCTTCTTTCCCTAAAGAACAGTCCACAACTCTTGGTGCATGTTTCACTTGTGTCCTTTATTATGTCTTCATGTTGTTTCCATTGCTTCTCTCCGTAATTTCCTCATTTGCACTACAATTTCATCCATGTACATATAACATCTACTTTACCAATTGCTGAAAATCTTTTAACATTTTCATATCCTCATACACCTTTACCAACCTCTGTATGTCCGGCACCTGGGAACCGGAGACCTCACTATCAGCCAACTTGGCCAAGGCCTCTGACGCCTGATTCAAATACAGGACTGATCCTAACTGCATATAATGGTTGGTTGGCAGATCTAACTGTCCTCCAGCCCACATAATATGGGGGAGTGGGACCCCTAATAACGCTAAGGTTATAGCTGCCCCTGTCCTGAAGCTATGCAAAGTTTCTCCATCATTCAAATTAGCCTCCCTCAGGTACTTTTTCAATCTTCCCTCAGCTGCTGCTGAGGATAACGGAGCAGGTAGTACCAAGCCCTCCCTTGAGGTC